TGCAATGCACCGGGGCACTTGATCTTAAAAGGGCCCTACGGCCCTACGCCCTTACCGATTATCTGATAATGTGACCTAAAATATACAACAAAGAAAAAAGAAAATTATCTTATAAAATTATATTAAATACTATTGTGAGATGATGAATAAAGGCCTTTTAATATATTATGTTGATAGACGCACAGACGGTAATAATTACATAATAATATGTAACTATATTACCTATAGTGTCGTTAGCATGAGACACGAGTTCGCTGAAACTTATGATATTTCTGGCTTGCGAGCGACTCTATCAGTTTCGGTTCACGTTATCGCGATTACCTATTTCAAAACGTGTATTTATAGATTGTTGTGTTGAACAGTGTATCTATAACCAATCAGATAAACATAACATTTGTGATTTGTCGACTACGCGTCGTTGTCATTCATTCCTTAATACGCATGGAATATACAGCCTAGCTCTAGTGTACGAGTATCACTTATTTTTATTCCAATTAAAAATGTCTACCAAAAAACAATTAAGTGGATATGAAAAACGAAAAAAAAAAAATACAACAGGGAGAACATATTTCAAAGTTCCCTAAAATAAGTGGTTTTTTTACAAAAACAAGTGGATTGCCAACCAACGGTATGTATTAAATTATTATATTTTATAAATAAATATGAAAGATGCATAGGTACAATAAACAATAATACAATTTTTTTTAGTAAAACAATTCAGTAAATTATTATTACATATTTAGATACATTGTAAAATAATACTAAGTTATTTATAATAATAAAAATAATGTTCAGCCTTTTCTCAGTATTTATTTTTCAAGACTTTTTCACTATATGTTCAAAATGGAATATACCTACAGATTTTAAAACTAAGCGACAGGCATTTGCTAAACATTATTTCGATGAAGTAGATGGAGATAGACGTTTAAATACAACAAAAGATAATTTTAAAGTCAAGGTTTTTTTTCCAATTATTGACACCGTTTTGTTTCAAATACGTAGACGATTTGAAGGATTATATGAAGTTGCAAGTACGTTCAGTTTTTTAAATCCTTCTTCATTAAAAGAAAACAATGAAGCTGATATCATCAAAGCATCTTATGATTTTGCTGTAAAATACGACATAGACATTAGTTCTGATTTTACTCGACAAGTATTGTCTTTTAAATCAATTATTAATCAAATTGAATTGCCTAATATCCTTAGTATGGCAAATTACATAATAGATAATGATCTTTCAAGTAGCTTTCCAGATATTATTACTGCATGCTCGATATTTTTAACTATACCTGTAACTGTCGCTTCAGCCGAACGATCATTTTCTAAATTGAAACTTGTGAAGAATTATTTAAGAAATACGATTTCTCAAGAAAGACTCAATAATATTTCAATTTTAAATATAGAAAGAGAGCGCACCGAAGAACTAAATATTGACCAAATAATTAACAATTTCGCAAATCGAAAAGCAAGAAAAAAAAATTTTAAAATCTAACACTAATATTCAAATTAGGTAGTTAATACAATTAGTATTAATAATACTAATTTCTGACTTATGAAAAATATAATTTCGATAATTTTTTTATTATTATTATTATTATTATTATTATTATTATTATTTACAAAGCTAAATTAAAATAAAAGCCATCAAACCTATAATTATTAATAATATGTAACTACATTTTTTTTTTTTTTTGAAATTTGTACAAAATAAAATTTAAATTATATGTACCTATACTAGTTTTTATAAGATAATAGTATGCATTTTGTTTTAATTTTCTATGTGAGTATAGTATACGAATGAAATATAATATAATCATTATCATAAGTAATCTAATAATTTTAAATATTCAATACCTAATATAATCTAGTTATTGTTATAATATACCTCTTAACGTTTTCGATGTTAACTTATTAAAATTCTTTGATATTACATTAAATTATATAAAACTTGTGTAAATTTGTTTGTCTTCATATATTTATTCTAATATATGGTACACTATAAATGGTATACACTATTTATGGGGCACTTATACCATAATTTGCACCGGGGCACACAAGTATCTAGCTACGGCACTGAGAAATACACTACCTATACATAAGTTAAAAATTGACAATAAATACATATTTTAAATGGTATGTGCATTTTATTGTTGATATACAATAAATATGATTGTTTTAATTATAAATTATGAGTTATGAGAATTACAAAAAGAAATATCGTTAAAAGCAGGAGTGTATTTGTACGTATACATGGATATACGGCGTATACACATCAGTAGATTTTCGATTTTCGGCATATATCTAATATAAAATATTATTTTACGGGTATATGCTTCTAAAATAACTAGAAAACAAAAAAACTAATAATAATTTAATAATTCATTGGAAAAAATTGTTATAAACCATGAAATTGATTGAAATATTTAGCTGTTGAATATTACAGTGTACGCTGCGTATTTTTTGAACTGTAGTGAATAACATTGAATAAAATAGTATGGAGTGTGAACATTCAGCTCATAGTTCTTAAATCTGCATCATGCAATTTATAACGCGCTACAAATGTATATCTTACTATTTTATATTTTATAGTTTTAATAAAAACTATAAACATATAGTTACAAAGGATTAAATTTTTTCGATTGTATTGAGAAAAAAAAATTGTCTAGCGAAGCAAAAAAATTTATTTTAAAATTAATATCGAAATTCTTTTAGTGCATATACCCACAAATATATTTACCAATACACCACTGATA